GAGTCCCTAAAGATAGCTTTTTGCAGACTATTCAAAATGTTACGGACTCCAATCAAATGGTTATGAGAAGCCTATCACAAAAACAAATCAGCTGTTCCTTTAAAATGCTTCATCAATATATAAACAAACTTTGTTTCTTACATACCCCAATTCATTCATTGTTACTGTTTGTATTTTCTGCTATAATATATGACAATGTAATAAAAAATATTGTTCCTAACTCGTCCTAAAATGCTTTTTTGTGACTTAATCGAATTTTTAAACAAGATATCGTCCCAAAAAAAGCCTACTTTAGGGACTAGTAACGAAAACTACAATTTACACCATGTAAACCTAATAATTTTAATAATAACTAATTAATTTATGATTCAAACAAAAACTTAACATATTTCTTTGACCGCCATTCCTTCACTCTTGGTGTAGTGAGAGTCAGTATTTGTTATGATTGGTTTGGACCTAAATTAATAGGAAACATGGAAATTGGTAAATACAAAAATATTTTTTGTTTTATTAACATTTTGTCAATATCAATAATGGCTGTAATTAATCACCAATTGGTGCACTCAGGCCAGGGGGATATACACAGTAATATAAGAGTTTTTATTTTTGTTGTTGAGGCAAATTGTGTTTTACTTTCATCTTGCAAAAAGACATGCTTAGACTGGCGTATATGCTAGGCATCTGAAACGTTAAATGAAGGAAATCATAGTTTCGGGTGATGGTTGTCATGTAATTCAGTGACCCCCATTACCCAAAATATGTTGACTATCATTACCACAAATGCATGGTTTAGATTAAAATTAACTCAAATACTTGATCTAGCATAACCTGAAGCGTAAAACTACAGAATTACATGATGGATCATATCTTTGTTCACCAAACTCTCAATATCAACCAATCAAAGTATATTTCATGTAAATAACTGAATATGGAGCAGATCAAATGTTATAAGAGATAGCCTTAAATCACTCATTCATCAGTAGCACGCAAATCTGTAATGGGATTTTGAAATAAAACGAGGTAGTATATAATCAAAAAGCCACCAGACAGAGGCACTTCACAAACCTAATCCACATCAACTAGTGACCTTCACTACCCCATGACAGCCCTTACCCCAGTTTCCCCTAGCATTTTGTTTTTGTTTAAAATGATCTAAGGTTGTTCATAAGGGAATAATCTTTAGTTTTGGTGACAAATAATAGTTTGGTCCTTTAATCACAGTTGACGAAACAATTTGCCTTGATAAGGAATCCAATTTGTAAATCACTCAGTTCTTTTAATATTTACAAGGCTAAAACATACCTCTAAGAGTTAACAGTGTAAGCCAACGTTTCCCAAATGTCAATTGGAGTAAAATGAGTATAAAGGGTTTTACATAACAAGTCTTAATGTAATGTATCATAGCGAGCGACAATACAAACGCAATGTTGATTCTGTTTGAGTTTTGGATGAGATAAAATTACTTCGTTTTTTTTGTTGATTCCACATATTTATGTTGAGATTAAAGTAGAATGTTATTAAAACAATTTATTATACATTGACCTTTTTGAACTTTTAAATTTAGTTATACATTTCATTACAATCGAAAGTTTATTTTCATCATACAGTACTCCAGAAATAAGAACCGTTTTAATGGATGCTTTGCGAGTGTAAAGTAGCATTTTTACTCTTGAAGGAAACAGTTATTTGTGCAGCTAGTGAGCAAAGTAAGCAATTGCCTAACTCGAGAGAAATCCTTACTCACGAGCCGTCACATTATATTTTTCCTACAGTTACCATGACACAAATAAATTGGTAAAGAAACGTAACATATTTTTACACAGAAGTGAACTTTTAATATGGCATTTAATGATACAACAGTACAACAGCTGACCAGCTGATTTACAGCAAGTGCTACCAACGTATTTCGCACACACGACCTTGTCTGCATGTTATGCGCTCACGATTTCGTGCCTTCACTTTGCAAATCTGGAGTGAGACAATGTTAACATTGTCTCACTGATGAGCGAATTGGCCACTTTGCTTTCTCAAATCAGTGAGAGAACATGTACATTGTTAGGTAACTGTAGGAAAAAGCATTTTTAGCCCCCTATGGAGTGGAAATCAGCTGTTGTAATCTCAGTTATAAATTTCGATTGTAAACAAAATTGCATGTATCGAAAGTATGTATTGATTGTTTAATCAATTGTTGTCTTAATGTAAATAGTAAAATAGTAGTAAATAGTAAATAGTAAATAGACATATCGATAGTACAATGTACACTAACATATACAAAATAAGTTTTAAGTTGTATAGACAAAATTATCGTATTACTTACCAAACAGCTGATTGTTTCCATTCAAAGGTTAAAATGAAAACAAGTTAGAAGTATTTTGAGAGGTTTTCTTTAAATGAAAATTATTTTAGTTTGTCACACAGTTTGTTCAAATAATGTGCAATATGACAAAAAATATAATTTATCACATGGGCAAAAAGTGTATTTTCAACCCTCGCTCATTTTCCGACCTCGGCCTCGTCTCGATTGTAAAACTTGGGTTTTGGTCAAAAAGAGTCACTTTATGCCCTAGTGATGAAATATACTATACTATAACTTATTATATTATACATAGCTTTATTGTGATCTAAAACCTGCCCTTGGTCTGGTTTTGAAAATCCGTTTTAAATTTCCACCCGATTGTTTTTTAAAGTTGCTAGCTTAGTTTTTTTACGAATGGAAACGTTATCTAGGTTTACAATTTAGTTTACATGCGTTAAAATTCAGTTTTTGACGTAAATATTTGTCATTTCATGCTTTTGTAGTTACGTGAATAACAAAAAACAAGTTAATTTGTAACCATACTTGTAGCTTGTATACTAAGTAATGTTTTATGGCTTTTTGTAAGTTATGGATATATTTAGTTCGTGCATCAACGTGTATCGTTGACATCATCGTTATAGTTGGACTTATTACTGTTCAATTTATCTTAGTTTGACATGTCGCAAACAAGTCAATCATCGTCAGACGAAATGTTATACGTCCAACCCGTCAACCGGTGACCTTGATTAATGTTAATTGGCTTTAAAAAATGTACAGTTGTGAGAGTTATATTTTATTATTTTTAAAATAAATATTTTAAATGTAAAATAGCTTCTTAAAACGACTTCCAGCTTGTTTTCAATTCTGTTAATCTAGCTGTTTAGTAAGTGATTCAATCATTTCGTCTATTACGATTGTGTTACAGTATTTAATACCATCGATATGTCGAGCGATCGACAACAATAGATAGCACCTTACCAAATAAATCAATCAATAAATAATTTCTATCGATAATATCGCAACAATCGAAGCTGTTTACAACAGCAGATTTTTACTAGGGAGTTTTCACTAGGGAGTTTTTACTAGGGAGTTTTTACTAGGGAGTTTTTACTAGGGAGTATGCCCGCAACGCGTGCATTAAAAACGGCTGTTTTTGCTGCAGTATGACAAATACCCCCGTCGCAGCAAACCTGACAACTAAGCGAATTTCCATTTGTCTGAATTGATTTTCAATTAAATATATTTAAATAACATTATAGGTCGAGTACCTAGGTTTGCTGCTACAAGGAAACTAATAAAGTGTGTTTTTTATTAACCCTAGTAATATTATTAGCTTAAAATAAGTTTGCCAAGTTTGATCAAAATATATCCATAAACAACCAAACTACAACATTTTACAATATTCTCCATAAGAATAACATGGGAATTTTAAATTTACAATTTTTTAAATTTTCTCCGTTACCAATAACCGTACAAAAATACTTTTATATACTAAATTATTTGTTTTTTAAGCTCTTTAAAAAGGTATAAAGAGAAATTGGGAAACTTTGTGTTTTGAGGGTCAAAAGTGAGAAAAACCAATTTTTACCCCATAAAACCCCCCGTAAAGCCCTGTTCCCATGGTCCGATCATGCTGGTTCGCGAACTCATTCAAGTTTATCCCGCTTTACACCTTTAAACCAAATTTCATCAAAATCGGACAAAAATTACTCAAGTTATTGCGTTCACGGACATATATATATATATATATAAATATATATATATACATATATAAAAATTTGAAGGAATGGTTTTTTTGGCCTCTGGGGACATCAAAATGAAAAAGTAAATCGCTCCCGGGCTTAGGTCTTACCATACCACCTACGGTAATAGCTACTTATAGGGAAATTCGCTAAAAAGAAATATACTCTCCGATAAGGCTACATACTTTTATAATCTTCATAATTAGTTATTTACATTTTCTACACATCTTCTGTTACATGTAAGGATAAATACAATCTGAATATGGACCAATTTGTTTATATTTAATGCAATTAAAAACACTTAAACTTAACTATTTTTAGTGGGTATTTTATGTACCCGTTCCCATGTTCCGATCATGCTGGTTTGCGACCTCATTCAAGTTCATCTTGCCCTACACCTTTCAGCCAAATTTAATTGAAATCGGACCTAATTTTATCATCTTATGATTCTTTTTTAAGTCAATGTTGCAAGGGTTAAAGTAAACATTCTGATATACATCAGTATTACTCGGTATAGTTGGCGAGAAGTAAGGAACAGAGAAAATTACACTCCATAGGCTACACTAAGTGGTGTCTAGCACTAGTGCTGGTGTCTACGACAAAGCGCAATAACCCCCCCTCACCCCCCAACCACCCCATCATATACTACAGCGCTTACGGGGGAGGAAGACCCTGCGCCATGTGAGATAGGTATTTCCCCACAATGCTCGTCTTTTTCCTTGCTTCCGCACAAGTATATTTGCCAGACAACATAAAGAGCTGAACTTGCAAGGTTGTCCCATGAGCGTGTTTCTTCTGTACATTACCCTCTGAAGTATAGTGCACTATTTTATGTACTGGTTCCACATTTTTTTTAACTAGAACAAAATAGAATGTAACTATGTTTTAAGAGTCTAAAGTAGGAACAAGACAGTAGGGTGATTACGAATGTAAATAAATCCAACTATTAACATCTTCATAAATTTATGTACAAAAGCTTCAACTAAATTGATTAGTAAAACAAATGTTACATCGCCATAAATGAACTCTACTATATACAAGACCTTATTTAAAAGTTAACATTAACACCAACAATGAGAATGATAAACAATAATAACAAGCAAAATATGATTTCTGTACAATACATTGGATAGGGAACTTTGCTTGTTATTATCATTCCTGTTGAAATCACATACACTATTTTACCCAACACTGACATTTTATGGCCCGGTAACTTATAAATTAAAATACTATGATTTTTACATTCAAGTACATTTTATACTATAAGTACTGTTGGTTGAAAATGGTCCAAAATAATATGACTTTCATTAAAAAATCCCATTAAGATTTGATTTATGAGAAATTTCTTGTATATTTAAAATTAAATATTGTATTCTTTTAAAAGTTGTTTCTCAAAATATTACTTTGTGAAACTTTTGTGCCTAAAAATGTATTAAGTCTCCCCGCCAACAAACTGATTGAACCATCTTAGCTTTGAATAAAATTACATATTTACATCTAGTTTAAAGCACTTACGTTTAATTTAATAAATTATGACTAAATGTAGTTTTATACTTAACATAAAATCGAATGATTTAAACAAAATTTTAATAACCTTAGAGGTTTTCCCATTGTGTTTTCCAGTAAACTATTTTTATTTCTAAAAGTTTAAAAAGACAAAAGGAGGTTAAATTAGATTTTTTTTATTAATTTATTGCTTAATCTACATTTAATTGACAAGCAACATGATAAGTGTATAACAAAATCAGTAAATTCCATTTGACATGGTTGCTGGTGCAATGATAAACTCATCTCGTATCACAGATTTGGCCCTCTCTACTGTATATAAACATACTTGTTAAACTGGTGGCGAGTGAAGCTTTCAAGTCTTCCTACAAGCATAGGTTCGATCCCCATACTTGTAAAATACTTCTTAAGCCTAATAATATGTCGCTTAGCTGGCAGGAAGGCCCACCTTAAATAAGCCGACAGCATTGGTTAATTCAATGGTGGCTTCTTTTTGGAGGCAGAGGACACAAATTTTTATTTTTTAGGTTTTGTTTTGGTTAGATGTTGACATACTAAGTTGAAATGCATATGACATAACGTAGTAACATAGTACATCAGTAGATAAACCATAAATAATTCCCGTGTCAATGGGTCTAATGCTAAAGCATCATATAATAACAGTCTACAAATAAAGCTGTACACTGGAGACTCGCAACCAAACATACTAATGTTACGGTAACTAATAAGGAGGTGGGATTATAGATTATAGTAGATTAGTAAATCGACATGGCTAGAAAAATTGGCATACATGATAGTTAAACTGAGATAGAGGTAAAAATACAAATGAACAATTAGCAAAACATATATCGTCATGTTTCAAGATCCCCAATTGAGCAAATGAAATATTTTGGATTAACGTTTTAACATGAAAGAAATTTCTTTAAAAATCACATAAGGTTCCAAAATGAGGGAAAATTCAGAGTAATATTTACTGAAGTTTTGAAAGATATTGAAAAATAGTAGGGGGCTGTGTATGGCTTACACAATATTACAATCCTTTGTTCTTACTTTCCAAACACATTTTGTATTGTTATTGTTAAGTAAAATGTTGGTTGATAAAATTGGACAGTTAAACATAATTCGAGGGATAAAAGTTGTATTCAATCAAACTTGTGTTGTTTAAAAAATGAATAAAAGAATATTTTATTTTTAGAATGACTGACAAAATATCCTTAATTTTTACTATTTTTAGTAAAGCATTTTTATTTAATAATGTGCCAATGTAGGTGTAGTTGCAATACATTTCATTGTAATATTGAGTGCACAAAATATTGTTAATCAAAGACCAAATACTTTTTCTAGCAATAAAACCACAAGTGTGTTTGATGTTACATTTTTAAGAGGTTTATTAAAACAGTACATTGTAAAGATTGACGTTCCCTTGCACACTGGTAGTTATAACACCTAAATAAAACGGTTGTAAGCTAAAATTCAAAAATTGTCTTGGTATCACTAAAAATATTTTAATAAATTAAGTTTGTTTGATGTTTCTTAATGCAAACTAAACAAAACTTGTGTTTAATTATTTTAAAAGTAACTTATGCTAATTATTTAAGTTTGGTTATAATATAAAAGCTATCTACAATATATAAAAATAAAAATATTAGTAAAAATATCATTACGTAAGGTATGTCTAAAGTGGTAATTAAAATAGTACAGTTTGACGTCTCCAAGAAAATGAATAATATAACAAACTTTATTTGATAATAACGTATCTTGATTTGATCATCGATATGGCAATTGATATGGTTTCCTTACCAAATACAAAGGATATGTTTTAATCTGAATTTTGTTTTTGATTCTCTGTTTGATAAATAAAGAAAGGTATATCAACAGGGATGTATAGTTATATACAAACATATTGTTTTAAATTTTACATTCAAATAGAAAGGTATATCTTCCGTAGCACATTGAGTGGTTGATTTGAAAAAGTTTACTAACTTGCCTGTGAAATGATCACGGCAAGTTTTTATTTGGTCTACAAACAAATCCGGATGATTAAAAAAATATTCAAGTAAAAAATAACTAAAATACCAAAAATAAAAAAAAAACTCATATTTCTACTTTTAACACGTTTGCTGCGGCCCGCCAAAATAGTTGGCTTTCAAATATTTCGGTCTGACGAATAGTAAATGACATGGGGTGATGTGCTGTGCTACAACGAGAGTTGACACGGTTTGCTAAAACACTCACAGATAGCAGCACTGCCTGGAACTAGCCGGTCTCATTGTATTGCTAATTGAAGGGAGAAGTACGGAACAACAAGTTGATTTCTAAGCTTGGCAGGAGGGGATTTTACGGGGAAATTTACAACCAACCTACACCACAATAAAGCACCCATTCCGAGCAAAGACATAAAAATACCCGTTCTTTCCAGTGTGCTGCTGCACAGAAATTGAATGGAATAAAGGCGATGCTGGCACTCAACGGTGAGCGTTCAGCGTGGCAGAAAGGAACTAGAGCACTCACCGGCGAGTGGCCCGCAGCGAACGTGTTAACAGTAACGTTTTGTATTTAGTATTAAACGAAATAGTAGTATTTTAATGAATAAAAATACCACTCTAAATATACAATTTACCTGTCGGATGGATAAAAACTCTACAATCACAAACATACGCTGAACATTCAATAACTATTTGCAAACTTTAACAAGTCTATAATGACAAAAAGATCCATCTTTTTTAAACCAACCACTGGCATAATAAAATGTTAACAATTCATCTAACTCCTTACCTACTTTGGTGAAAACCCTGAAAACTGGGTCCATTCGTTGTTCATATATGCAAATTTACACATCACTTGTACTAAGCGAGTCTGATTCATCACTATAAATTGTTCGCTAGAGTCAGTTCACTAAGAAGCCTTAGGTACTCCCTTTCACTCAGTTCTGCATCGTCTAAACTTCTTCTTCTTCGACCTGAATGACTTGTGACTTCTATGCAGAGCACAGCAAACGAGTGGTCGCAGGTAAATCGTTCCTGAAAATGTATGGAAGTTTTCACTTTTAATTAATTGTACCAGTAAATTAAATAAGCTTACAAATAAATCAACAAAATTCAGAAAAAACTTTCAAATTTAGTTCTTTGTAGGGTAAAGTATCTACTCGTAGTTTAGGAACAAATTAAGGGAGAAGTAGTGATAAGTAACTAACTAACCAATGAGAAGAGTTTCAGTGGCACACAACAAGTTCAAAACAAAATTAATTTGATATTTCACCCCACAACTGCAACCCAAGCACCATAAATACTACAGCATGTTCTAGTAAGGGGTTTAATTAGTATTTCATAATCAGTCAATCACTAAATTTAGATTCTAATTACTTTAAATGAAGATATAATATTTTATGTAAATATACATCTGACAAGTTAAGAATAGATTTGAGCTGGGATTTTTTATTTAACACTTTTAACTACTTTCTGAATTTATTAGTTATTTTGATTTATTTATTTAGTTAGTAATCCAAAGGCTGGACTGGAAAAGGACTGGAAGCTAGCTTACAACCACTGTATTATGTTGCATTTACCTGGCCCAGGAGTTGAGACGAAGGCAGCAATGGAGAGGCCAAACCTAACCTCTCAGAACTGCCCGAGTCCCACGCATCACAGTACAGCTCCATGGCTCTCTCTCCTGACACTAGGGAGCCGTGCCACACGTACTTCTTAGACCTGCACAATTAGACACTATGAGACACCTAGGAAATAAACACAGCGTGTATCTAGCCCTCGACAGCACCAGTAGCCAAACCTAACCTCTCAGAGCTGCCCGAGTCCCAGGCATCACAGTACAGCTCCATGGCTCTCTCTCCTGACACTAGGGAGCCGTGCCACACGTACTTCTTAGACCTGCACAATTAGACACTATGAGACACCTAGGAAATAAACACAGCGTGTATCTAGCCCTCGACAGCACCAATAGCCAAACCTAACCTCTCAGAGCTGCCCGAGTCCCACGCATCACAGTACAGCTCCATGGCTCTCTCTCCTGACACTAGGGAGCCGTGCCACACGTACTTCTTAGACCTGCACAATTAGACACTATGAGACACCTAGGAAATAAACACAGCGTGTATCTAGCCCTCGACAGCACCAATAGCCAAACCTAACCTCTCAGAGCTGCCCGAGTCCCACGCATCACAGTACAGCTCCATGGCTCTCTCTCCTGACACTAGGGAGCCGTGCCACACGTACTTCTTAGACCTGCACAATTAGACACTATGAGACACCTAGGAAATAAACACAGCGTGTATCTAGCCCTCGACAGCACCAGTAGCCAAACCTAACCTCTCAGAGCTGCCCGAGTCCCAGGCATCACAGTACAGCTCCATGGCTCTCTCTCCTGACACTAGGGAGCCGTGCCACACGTACTTCTTAGACCTGCACAATTAGACACTATGAGACACCTAGGAAATAAACACAGCGTGTATCTAGCCCTCGACAGCATCAGTAGCCAAACCTAACCTCTCAGAGCTGCCCGAGTCCCAGGCATCACAGTACAGCTCCATGGCTCTCTCTCCTGACACTAGGGAGCCGTGCCACACGTACTTCTTAGACCTGCACAATTAGACACTATGAGACACCTAGGAAATAAACACAGCGTGTATCTAGCCCTCGACAGCACCAGTAGCCAAACCTAACCTCTCAGAGCTGCCCGAGTCCCAGGCATCACAGTACAGCTCCATGGCTCTCTCTCCTGACACTAGGGAGCCGTGCCACACGTACTTCTTAGACCTGCACAATTAGACACTATGAGACACCTAGGAAATAAACACAGCGTGTCTCTAGTAGGCAATACCAGCAAGGTAGTTGAAACATATAGGGTCATTCCACTCTATAATTAAATGATTCCCCTGAATCACACATACTTGTTCCTCACCGCGAGTACCCCATGTCGATCAAGTCGCCTGACGACAGACCATATTTACAGTTTATTCATTTAATTTTACGAGAAGACCAACACAACTGACAGACGGTAAAATACTTGTCGGCAAAGTGGGTTCTCAATTTTATTTGATTTAAAATTGCTGTCATATGGTTTAAGAACAATGCAATTTGTTGACCAACTGTTAGTCTCCCATCATACATATAAATAAATGTTTTTATCATCATATATATTAAAACGTGACAAGGTTTTTTTATTTCTCGATTCTGAATCAACCAGTTGACGGATTTTCATGATTTTTGTGTTGAAATAAAGATAATTTGGAGAACGAGGGAATGTCAAAGAAATAATTTTATACTGTTATAATCTAAGGCTAACCTCACAATCCAATTGATTTATTGTGGAGACCTAGGTTTCTACACCGGAGCATTATCGCCAGTCCTAGGCTAAGCTTAACTTTTTGTTTTTCATCTCTTACTTAAAATATTGTTGGTTGGATAGAAATTTTACAAATACAAACACTGAATATACATAAATATTAACAAAGACATAGTGGAGAACATAGATCATGGCCAAAATTGCAGAGAAAATATCCGAGCCATTTCAAGATAACAGCCGTTGAGATAAGAAAGAACAGATAGCTAAGAGTTATGTTTAAAAACATCCAGATATATGGGTGCTTTTCAGTAGTAAAAGGCTCTGATGGACAGGCTATGCTTGGAGGAGAGACGATACATCAACTTTTAAAATGTATTCCAGGGAAAACAACAAGTAACACGACCAGTTGGAGGACCAATCATTGAAAGACTTCTCCAGACTGGGATCCAACATTAGAAGAGGATAGGGATAGAAGAGAATGGGATGCCAAAATTCTCTTAAGGTTTCAGTGGCCACTGAGGTAAAATAAGGTACTCTAAGTGATAGTATGCAATGTAAGGTGATATGTGGCTACTGTACTTAAAACCAGTGTGTGTGAATCAACCGCCAATCTCACTTCAAAGCTTTTCAAATCAACACAATCAATGTTTTACAGTAAAATAATCAGATTAAAAATGCATATCGTGTAGGCCTATAATTGGAAGAAAGAAATGGTGGTCACGTGACATTTGTTTAAAAGATGATTTTCCCTATTAAAAGTCAGAATGTTTCTTTATGTGTGTAAACTAGCTGTTCTGAATTATATTCAGTTTTAATCGACTACTTGATTCCCGTACGTAGGATGGGCCAACAGCTAGTTTTAGTTTACTGTATGTATAATAGACCTATAAATCATATAAGATGTTTAGAATTGTTTATTCCGCTCTGACAGCACAAAACAAAGATTTGGCTGGCACAGAGTTTACCCTAATACAAGAACATTCAGTTCTAGAGACTTAATTTAAGAAGAAAAGTTTAAACTTAATTTGAGTACGATATAACTAGCCTTCATTTATAATATTAATACTGAATAGTAGACAAAGAAGTATAAATTAAAAATAGATTACAAATGACAGTGCTAGTAATTGACAGAAGACAGAAACGAAACTGCGATGAACAATTGCTTTTGGGAGTAAGAGTTGCAGGCGACTGAGTGTGCATCTAACCTAAAATTTCATGTTCATGTCCTTTCTATTTCATTTCCTGCCTGGTGTTGCCCAAGGGCCTCTAGCTACAAACTACGCGGGAAAGGACAAAAGAAACGGCAAAATCAAACACCACGTCAAGAATTTGAGGATTCACCAGATTTTGGACATGTAATTTTGCCCCCAATCAAGTCCTGCCTGGTTTAGCAGCCTTCATTTGATAACACAATAAACATTCACTAGTAACTTCCCTATCTGTTTTATTGCTATGTCCTTGTCCTATCCTGTCTAGTGTAGCCCTAGCTTAACAGCGTAAAGAAGATCAGAGTTAGTCTAACTTAAGTCCCCTTTTATCTCATTGGTAGCACTGGTGGTTGCGGCCCGCGCAACAGTGCATAAAAGCTCCCATTTGAGTCAATGTACTTATAGAATCGCTGCGGCAACCGCAGGAGCATAAAGGGGTCAACCTTTTACCTGCGTTTTTATGTCTAATAAGTATTGGAAGCTACTCACCATGAAGGGTCTGCTAAAATGTTTTTCCCACTGAAGGAGTATATCCTTGGAGGCTGTGCGAAGAAGCCTCCGTCACCAGTGAAGATACTCTTCCAGGAGTTGAACAATACATCTCCCTAAAACAAGAGTCCATGGGTTTTAAGTAAACCATACTTAACTTAACAGTGTAAACCAAATGTGGGGCTTTCAGCTAAGATTTTATCCACTGTGAGACCAACATAATTTAGTTTCTTTAACTACTTACTTTAACTTTAACTTTAACTTTAGTATGCCCAAACAATCACTAAAATAGTAAAATATGAAAATGTTTGATCACATTACGACAAAGATAATGGGTTTGTTTCAATAAAACCTACATCTGATGGGTAAAAGAATTTATAATATTTTAAACCACAACCAAAGAAATGTAAATTACTACAAACTAGGAAGACAATTTAATAATTTTAAATACATCTCAATGGAACCAATAATAATTTCTCCTCTATTTTTATATAGAAAAGAGTAAAGGACCTATTATTTGGGTACAGTTCTGTATTAAGATTAAGCCAAATTTGGTAACCGTAATGAATTGTTATTTAGTTAAGTAAAGGCAGTTAACGCAACTGCCGTGTAAAGATAAATTTTCTACTTGTGTCTCATAAAGACCATCAACAGAAGCAAGAGCTATAAGCAGAGGCAAGAGCTTTGGTGAGTGCCTTAAAAACTTGTACGAGTCTCTTAAAGGCTAATTACAATAGTTGCTTACACTACTTTACCTACGATCATTTGTTATTAATGTTTGTAAAACATCATTAGCCTATAGGCCTACTCTTTCTGCATAGTTCTATTTTGTCAGGCGATAGGTAGGCTACTGCTACCCATTCAACACTCATCCTTTACTCATCGTTTGGATCTAATTAATTCATGTCTGAAGACTGTTTTAAATTTTATTCATCACCAAGAAACACTAAACCGTTAACTTCTATTTAGTTCTATCATTACCTTAATATTGACAACAGGCAGGTCCCAATCTGTAAATCGAACGATAGAGTCCAGGTTCTGTATCCTGGATGACAGGAATGCCCGGAACGTCCCGCGCAGACCTGCACGTCTCGCCTGTCTGTAGCAGGAATAATCGGCTCCCCGCTGTCCGTTCATGCCTCCGGTGTAGGGCTCGTTGAGTGCAGCCATGCGCAGCTGTAATTATTGTCAAATGATTTAATAAAATATTTAACTAACTATTAATATTACAAGTAGAAATACTGTAGTCCGTCTTATAATAAAAATGGAAGTTGACTTGAACTACAATTAGTACTGATGTAAATTTCATATTTATGTTGAATAGGCAAATTTTTTATCAAAGCCCCACTGAAAGAACAACCAGTTGTAATGTAAAGTATAGCACTTTTTATGACATCAACCATCTAATAAAAAAAAAATTAATTTCCTTCCGTAGCGCATTTTTGAGTGCATCATTCCAGTGTGTTCACTTAGAACAACAACTGGCTACAGCATGTCCACATAGATAGGGTATCTACTTTTGCATCCTAATGCCAGATATATATTAATAATAGCTTATTCCTTCCATTAGAAATTCGATAGGGAAATTTCCTAAAAACATTAAACTGAAACAGTAAATAACTAACAATTATCAATGAACTGAAACATGGGTAGATAAATCTAGGGGTTGGGTTAGTTGAATTTGGTTTCTGGCTGTCAGCAGGCACCTTAGGCATATCTTTTGAGTAAAGTAAAACCAAGGATAAAAGGACGGTATTGTCTCGCTACCCAGTACAGTCACTCTCCCAGCAAAGAGCATGCACATTCACGGTTTTTAGTTATCAACAGTAAAGGTGGGTTAAAATCCTAAGTGCCAAAGTCGGCTGTCAAATACAGATGCTGAATTTTGAATGTCATGCGAGTCTTGTAGTGACTGCTTTTTTGGCAGGAGCGATTTTCTAGAATGATAATATTTAATTGCAGAGTGGGTTTATGCAAAATCTATTGAGTGTCCACAAATTGTCCCTTTTAGTCGTACTAATCTGGATCTAAGCCAACTGCATTCAACAAATCTCCAAAACAGTTCTATTAACTAAGAAAATGTCCATTGACAAAAAAAAAATATAGTGTTTGATTTGAGTTTGACACTGCTGAATGACTGCTCCAAGAACAGTCTCTTGTATGCAGTCCCTGCCAAATTCCACGGGTAGGAAAATGTCTGTAGCCCTTGTATGTTGGGTTGGTTAAAAAGATGTAGCTGTAAGCGTAAGCCAATTTGGCAGCTATGAAACCCCAAAGTGTTGTCATAACTAATCGTCCAACAATAAAGACTTAACCTTAAATCAAGCATACACATATTGCATTTTTTAGAGACTTTATTAGTATATTCCTTCGTAGTGTTTAGTATATTGTATATGTTTTTTTTGTTTTTTTTTCTTAGCACATTAGCATTTTCCATCACTTTTCGCAAGCGCTGCTTTTGTTCTAATGTGGACATTTCGTTAGATAGCCCAGATTAATTGATAGCCCAGATTAATTGATAGCCCAGATTGGTTAAGGCTATTCCACTTCCATCCTACCTCTAAAATTATTCTGCAACCATAACCTTTCAGTTGCCTAGTCATATGCATATTGACTAGGCAATGCTTACCACTAGGTGATAACTACTGTTATTTTCAAAGCATTAATAGTTTACTTTTAAATTATATCAGGAATTAACCAAAACAAATTTTTATTTGTTCTTTTAAGCAATTACCTTAGCATTCAATTGTTGAGAGAACCAAGATATTTAATGTAAATTTAACATTTAACAAAATACTGCACTTACCATGTGTGATTGTCCCTTAGCATGAACAGTAAAATGTTAAATTAGTATCTAACTATCACATTGTCATAGTTGGGTGTTGCTGGAATGATCCCCTATGTTCATTTAACCAAAACATTATAAGCCAAAAACAAAGGTATACTGAGCCAAATATATGCTAGGCATGAGTAGTTTCATCGTGCTATCTTTAAGCTTACACACTTATAAGGGAGGCACAGTGTACATATTGTTAGACTAAATATTAAGAGAATCAACTTACATCTCCTAAAACGATAATAACAGTTTTAACAGTCACAATAGAGCACGCCTATCCAACTGACATTCTAGGAACTAAAGCACAGTCGGCCATTATAGACAGAGATAGAAGAGCTTGGTGTTGATGAAAACAGCGCAAAAACTCAATGTTTCACTTCTAAATAACTCGCCATTTGGCATTTAGCCTACTTAGAGTACAGGTATATGGTTGAAACATTATATGAGTGAAGTCAATGAGTCTTGGACACTATGAGTTATATTTAAAAGCTTAAAAACAAATATTTTATATTTACAAAAAATATCCAAATAAAGTAAAATTAATTGTTTGCGTTTTGAAATGTGTCATGAAAAAGTTTGTCGGCTGCTACTTTTATAATTTTGGTCAGCTAAGTTAAAAATGGTGGATTTTTTACCTGAGTGACATTTTCTAAATAGTCATAACACTGGCCAATGAAGCCAAGCCATCAAAAACTCGGAAACCACGGTATAGTTCAACTATTGCAATGGAATCACTTGGCGAAACACAAGGTAATTTAATCCATTCATGGTTTGTATCTTTTGTTTTTCTACACTCGTGCCACCACTTACCACGGGTCCGTCCAACTGAGTTGGAACATTGTTTAACAAGTTGGAGGCCTCAAACGGAGGATGAGATTTCTCAGTGGTTGTAGTTGTGACGGGGGTTGGGAAATCAGCATTGACTGGAATCACCTGGCCCATCTGTCAACAAAATGGTTATTTGAACCAATGTTATGTTTTTCTTAGTACGTAGGCCTACAGTTAAAATATGACAGAAATGTTGCTGCCTAGCATCACCTGTCTTCGAATAAGTGCTGCCACAAATGGCCTTAGAATTAGAAAATGTACAAATTTGTGTTTAGATTACGATACCTTGTTGTGTGTGTATCATTTTCTAATGATCATTAGGGCCGCGCCAACAAGTTTTGTAAACTTGGCTAGGCTCTACTGCTGACTAGTGACTATCACTAAATATGTTTGAACAAGATCAGGTAAACATGTCCTCCACAATCAACTCAGTGCCCAAAGTGAGAGTTATGAAATGTATATGTGTGTAAAAGGTGTCACTGATGAAGAAGTCACAGCTTCTAATCCCCCGTGTTGCCAATATCCCGTGTTGTAGATGATGTGGGTTGACCAACGTTGCAATGTTTTGGTGGGTTTGTTGTTGTTGTTGTTGTCAGGAACTTCTGCCTGAACAATTTAAGAGATTTTCACCAGATTGGCACTCTCAGGAATTGATGCTAATAAGTAGAAATTGGCAGTCAATGAGATTTCAGAAACTGAGTGTTTAAGGTCACTTAAGTATTCATTTCTCACAGTGGGAGATTGTAAGACTGAGGATTTTTAGAGAGTCATTGCTAAAGAGTTCCACTATCAATACGTTATGAGTGCACTCACCAACACATACTGCCAACCTCTGTTGACTCTTATCAGTAGAGCTTCTTCTTCTAATATATAAGCGAGGGTCCCAACTGGACTAACGTTTGCTTTCTGAAACAGAATGTTCGCTAAAACCAACTATATCTATGGCTTTCATAACGAGCAGTAGTAAAAGGAATGGATTTTTCCATTTTCCACTAGTGGAATGTGGTTAGGTTAGGTTAGGTTTTTCTAACTCTATAGTAACCTAACTTAACCTAACCAAAGTTTAATTCGCTACTACTTATATTGCTAATAATCCATTGCTCTAAAACCTAGTGTAGTGAATTAACAGAAAAGGTCCAAAAGAATTAATAAATAGAATAATATTATGTAGTTAGTTGGATTTTGATAGATAATCCAAATCATGGCCATGCGGTTGTACAGGCCGTCCATAAGCTGACCGTCTGAGATATTGATTTCTTCTTAGTCTACACTAAGAAACCCTACTACAAAGGGTTAGAAAGGGTAAGGGAGTTAGATGCCACTATGTCACTTTGTCAAGTGGTGTTTGTGAAAGGTTATGTCAACAAGCAGCTTGATTTTCAACCCGAACATAGCCTAGCCTAAAACTTCTTGATTGTTGTAGTGTTTCCAGACCAATTATTTGACACATGAAAATGAAAATATTAAATTACCTGAACCTTTTAGTCCAAGTTTATCCAACTGGATCTCCAAGTAGGACAAACTTGGCCACCAGGTGACAAAAGGTAATTTGACCTTTTGACCAGCTAAAAGGGTTGAGTTATCAAGCGACAAGTCAAAAAAGTAAGCCAAATAATTTTAATACTCGGAATACTATTGTCATTGGGGAAAGAGTGAGTATATATTGGACAAACCAAAATCAATGATTTAACTGCAATGGAAGATGATTACAATTTTGCCGTCAATAATTGGGATACGATCGTGGGAGACAATGTTTCCGAGCGAGACCAAGAGATGTTCATGGTTTTACCGTCATCACTAAACACTTAATTTTTACCTTTATTTCATTTTCCTAATTGACATCCACTGGTACAACAATTTCCATTATTTAGTACTACCTAATTAATTACAGTATAGTGCTAGATTACCATATTTGGGAAGCTATATCGTAAGATAGATTATCAAGTTATAAATTGAATATACAGTATACAGGAATAATAGTTGCTTTTTATTGTTTCATTTTTCATTTTCCCTATAAATACTTACACGTGCCATTTCCTCAAGGTTTTTGAAGGTCACCGATCCAGTGATTGTGCCCAATGTTGGAGACGGATAGGAAGTCGGACCTTGTGTTCCTATAAGAAAGAAGAGATAAATTATACAACTAGGCCCTATGCAATCTTTATATGGTTAGCTGACTGTTTTAATTCTGCTTCCGGTATGAGGAAACAAAACAGGATAATACAGTAAAACATCAATTAATCGACTTGAAAGCATCAAGGTGGTTTTGGATATCCTATATTATTGGTTAATCAATATTTGGCATTTTAAGGCTATTTGGATTAAAAAAGATTGGCAGTGGTCATTTTGTTTACGTAATTTAGATAACTTTGATCTTCAATTCTATCAATCTTAAATAAAAATCTACTTCATAAAATGGTCATTTATGCCTTCTGAATGTCAAATCTAGGTCCTCTGATGATGACAGCCACATTGAAAGAGTGGGCCGACATTGTGGATGCGTAGCAGCTATCTATCTTTGAGGCAAACTACTATTCAACTTAAGATGCATAGCTGCTAGGCATCCACAACTCTGGCCTCTAATCTCACTCACATTTCAATGACACGGGCATCACTCTAAGATCTAGATTTGACAATCTGCATACAAGGGTGAACTAAGATCTAGATTATGTCTTCTGAACTGTCGTCGTCTGCTCCATTACATCCTGTTGTCGAGGACAGACCAACTATAATAATAAAACCCAACCAAAATTAATTTATTTTTAATTTTCTTATTATTTACACTTTGTTTTTTATTGATTATTTGAAATTTTGTAATTCTTGCTAGTTTTCAGACCCACAACCCAAAGAAACGGGAGTGCACTATCAGGATGAACCCTAACAACAATTGTAAATGTTAAATATGTTATGTAATAATGAGAGCTATTTATAATTTTTACTTTTACGTTTCTCACCGGTGGAATCCCCAAAACTTCTTCCTGATTCTCCTGGTTCTCCTTTCTCTCCTTGAACTGAGACTCCCGGCATCCCCTGAAAAAGACTTAGTTAGTGTCAGAAATGTACAACAAACACAGCCAATACCTCAAAAAAATTACCTTTAACTTCTTAAGTTCAGTTCATACACTTTAACTCATTGACATGGAAATAGTTTATTGGTTTATTTATCAATATATTTTTAATGGATATTTGGTTCCCTGCCTGTTATGGCATATGCATTACAACAAGATATTTAACCCCACATTTAATTAAACCAAAATAAAAGCAACAATTTGTTGTAATTAAAGTGGTTTAAATACCTGTAATGTCGACGATCCAAATGGTTGTGTAACAACTAGTTTCGGCTCATAATTGAGCCATCTTCAGGTTTTTCAAGGACATTATCACTTCTTCCGAAGGTCGTCAAAGTTCACAAATAATTTACACAGGTGCATAAAATATTTCATAGAGTGTGACAGTTTGTTGATTTCCTATTTTATTTTTTGTTAATGAGATAGGTTATGAAAAATTCTAAAGCTTACGCTATTAGTTTGACTTCCGGATAAAAATATGTCGTATTCAACATAAATCGGTAATTTACATTAGTGGCTCTTTTAGTGGCTCAATTCACCGACACACTTTTATCCTAAAACTGATGAAATCTCTGCAGCTTTAACATGGGGATGGAACATCTAGCTCTATCAATGGACACATATAATGATACTAATCTATAGTGACAGGCAACAAAAACAAAACAAAAAATGAAAATACGGTTAAATACTCACAGGAGGGCCTGGAGGGCCGGGTGGTCCGGGTATGGGTACGTAGTGTGACCCGGGACCCAGTGCTGGACCCGGAGGACCCGGGGGACCAGCTGCTCCGTCTCTCCCAGGCTCTCCTTTGTCTCCCTTCAGCTATAAAAGTGAAAGTGACTTCATGAAGGCACCACCAACAGTTTTGAAATCAATGTTGTCAATGGAAAAATTAAACACTAGTGTTGTACTGTGTGTTTTTAGGGCCTACTAACCCTAGACTTAAAAAATTTAAACTTTACCACACAATATTAACATTGCTGCACAAAAAAAATACTTCCACCCTCCGATGCAGCAAACCTGCAGACTAAGCAAATTTTTATTTGTCTTATTGGATTTTTACTTAAAATTTTCCATTAACAAGACATAGCCTATTTATTTCCTGTTTAAATGACACTAGCTGTTACCCACAGGCTTCACCCCGTTTGACATCACTTCATAATTATTATTAAAACTATTGATTGGTTAAGTTAAGCTGAAATAAACAAAACAGAATATAGTACCGTAATGCAAACAAATAATCATACCTGATTTTAGAAAGGTAATAAATTGAAATAATAATTGAATGTTATACATAACAAGTAGGTCTTGAGAAAAACCCTTGTTACAACAGTTTTATATAAGGTTACCATTCAAATTGTTACAATTGTAAAAATGTAAATAATTTTACTTAAATACAACAGAACAAAATAAAGCAAATTCTACTGAAAAGTTAACTTACTTTCAATTCTATCGTTCTAAAAAAGTAAAGTTTTCTTTGGTGTTTCTTTTTCTTCGCTTTCACTGCCTAGATAACTCCTATACTTAAAATACCTTTCTCTGCAATAATCATCTATATCATCAGGAATATTCTCTGAATCTGAATCTACACTCAATTCAGAGGAAAATGGATCAGTTTTAGGTATTGTTTTGCTTCTTTTCTTTTTGTTGTATGATTTAGTACGCCTCGAACAGTTTTTTGAAAAGTGACCACTACCCCCACATTTATAGCAAACTCTGCTTTCTTCTGTTTTCTCAGTTCTACATTGTCTATAAGAATGACCTGCTTTGTTGCAATTGTAACAACGATCCTCTTCAACAATTTCATAGGCCAACTCCTCTTCTGGAATCATCATAAGCTTGGTGTTTTAAACAAAAATATTTGTTACAACTTGTTGTTTTATTTATGTTTGGTATTGACATATGTAGAGTAAACTCAAAGGGGTACAAACACAAGGAATTGTATGAAAATAAATTGGTCACCTTGAGGAATAAATTAAACACATTTAAATGTCAATCAAAGTAAAAACAAAAAAAAAACTAATGTGGTACGGTACTGTAATTAAGCGGATTCTTATCATAACTGTTAAATTTATAAATATTTAGTTAGGAAATCCATCATTACTAATCTAAATTATAAAGATATCTTATCATTTGAAAACTACTTAATGATAAGTAAGCTTGTATTTTTTGGCAGTGATATAAGTCTATGTATTGGATGATAAGTCGTTGTACAATTTTATCCATGTAAAAAATATGACACATAAATTAACGCTGTTAACACATTTACTGCGTGCGACGAGTATACTCGTCAAAGTGCCATTTACAAACTTAACTATTGTTCAATTGTGAGTTTAGTCACTGCCTTTTTATGGTGTACAGTAGACTCCCTCTTATCCGGACACCTTTTAACCGGACTACACTCAACGGAAATGACATCTCTTTAACCGGACAATTTTTATCAGCACATTGGTTTAACCGGACTAGATCTGCCTGACACTGACATAACATAAATATTTGTTTGATAGTCTTAAACTTGAATAGGGGCAGATTTTTTTTTATAAACAACTAACTTTAAAATAAATTAAACCCCTAACACCAACATAAACATGAATATTAGATTAATTAGAAAATTGAGTAGTCAATATTTCTTTGTGTTATGGAATATTGATATGAAACTGAATTGTACCTATGTCGTTTGAAATATAGTATTTAAGATGCCTTTTGAGGTTCAGAATACAGTTTACTTGTTTTACAGTAGAGTCCCGCAAACTCAGCGTAATCTGGACTGAAAGGGTTCCGAATTTGTGAAATGTCGGGTTATCGAGAACTAGGGTTAAAAATAAGAACAATACAATTTTTAAGCTTTTTAACCGCCTTTTTTATTTAAATATTAAAAGTCAGTATTAAGTCATCAGATATAGTAAAACAACTCCTTGGTATGAGTTGCAAATTATTTAACTTGAGCTGGCTGGAGTCCATGTTTAACTCCGAAAAAAAAATCACTAATTTTCTGAGCCAGGTGATGGCCGAGTTATCCAGACTGCCGGGTTAACGAGTGTCGAGTTTGCAGGACTCTACTGTATTACTGTTGATGGTGATATGTCTGCAGTATTGCTACGAGCTTGTGTGGAAACAGCGTTACTAACAATAATAATGACAAAAAATGTCACCAGTTTCAAAAAAAAAAAACTGCCAAAATCTTCAATTCCCAAACTTTTGTAACTCGAAACTCGGTGATAGAATCTCGAAACCGAAACTTTTCCAAAGTGTTGATGGTTTTGAGATTTCAGATTCGGTTCTGACACAACACTACTGGATACTATTTAAGTTTATGATAAGGGTAAATTTTATCAGTCATAAATTAAACTACTACTTACAGTCACCGAGTTTCCATAGACATCAAGCAGTTGTCCAGGTTCTCCCTTCTCTCCCTTACATCCGGGATGAATCTCTCCAGGCACTCCAGGTCTTCCGGGAAGTCCCTGTGATAGATTCAATAAAATACAGTAAACAATAGTTCAATAACTAATTTCAGTTAGGCCTATTGATAAGTTAGAAACTGGAAAAACAGACAAACAATGGTTAACAGATGATTAGCAATAGGCTTTGTTCAACACACCTCTATTGCAGGGCATTGAGGTTCATGACACCCGCCAGTGGCACACGGCTCAACACGGCTCTATTGCATAGTGCTGGGGCTCAACTTGCCAACCAGTAGCACACGGCTCAACACAGCTCTATTGCAGGGTACTGGGGCTCAACTTGACAACCAGCGGCACCGGGCTCATAACGCTCAGGTGGTGCCCACAAGCGGGGTGAGACGCAAAGGCCCAACTGGAGTCTCTCGAGGGTGCGCGTTAAGTAGCAGTGCAGGCTGCTTTGAGGGTGGAGCGAAGTACCCAATACCAGCCCTCGAAGACTAAATGTTTCGAAGAAGTGAAAACCGGCCAAGATGAAGTAAATAGGTAACTTGACCTTTGTCTCAGATTTGATTTCGCACGCTTGGCTGCGACGAGAGTTTTATGGAAATCTAAACTAACGGTCAACCCTCGTTTCATAAAGTTGGGTCCGCACCATCTCTGATTGAACAAATCCAACAAAATGATTATTAAAACAGTAAGAATGAATTTTTGTTACCACTTCATGGAAATGATTACATTTAGCTGTAAACTTAACCAAAAATTGCTCATTTACTAAGTGTCATTCGGTCAATTCAGTTCCACTTGTGTTTGCAAAAAGTACTAACATCCGGTAACTTAATGCATTTGGCGAATGATTGGTTGAAAAAAAACACAGCCTGAATGAAAGTTTATGGTGGTGTATTTAATCGTAAAACCGTGTCATCACTAATAGGCTCAGTGGCAACAATGTAGAAACAACATGGTTGATGCCAAAAAGTACCATCAAGACCTCTCATGAAACCAACTGCAAAAGCCTATGTAAAAAGGTAAACTTTATATAGGTACAACTAAAAGATTTATCTGTGTGTTATGATAAGTTAATTATGGTGGTTAAAAAATGTTGTGTATATTACAAGAACAAACAGTCATTGCTGCTCTCGAAATGTAGGCCTATGACTATCTACAGTTATCGATTGACTTGGCGCTTTTAATACACAAATAGTTATTATAATTCTAGCTCAAATTCTGTTAAGTAATTGATTAGCAAGTAATAGGTTTACAGAAAAATGTTTTACTTACCTCACAATCCTAAAAAGGATGCAGAAAAAAAATTCAAGTCAATAAGGGTACCCTATAGAAAGGCTAAGAAAAGTAGCTTAACAATGACACAGAGAAGTAAGATACAGACGATGCGTTCAATTGTCCACCATAGTGGTGTCTAGCATGAGTTACTGGTGTCTAGAGCAAATTATATTCAACAATGCTATGTGGCCATCCCTGTTCAGGCTCTTCATTGTTTGTTACAAGTACACTTCCACCCCAACATAGGCCTACCAGAGCTAAAAGCCTACGATTGTCCCATAATCTTGTATCTTCAGTATCTTTCTTCTCTGTGATTACGAAAGATAACTGCGGCTAGAGCATAGCACTGGTAATAGGGATGAGCATCGATAGTTGATGTTTTTTTCTACCAATGTTCGATGGCAGGACATTGATGTTTTAGGCTAACTATGGAAATATCAGCTTTTTCTGTAGGATAACAAATTTGTTATTTAATGAAAATTTGAATTTTGGTCTTAGAAAGTAAATTTTTCTTCAGTCTATTGAAATGGTGATGAAATATTGAATCTAAAAATATTGCGAACAGGACTAGACTTAGTCAATAGAAGAGTGAGATAAAATATCTACATTTACATTTTAAAGGGTCTTGTTCTTAATGCCGCCAGAAATCATTTATATGTAATAAATTTCAGCAGCAGTTTAGCATAGGCAATACCAGTAATTCGCTTTGCAAATGTGAAAGAAAAACTACAGATCTAAATGTCTATCTAATACCTAGGTTAGGTTTGAATAGAGTGGGCTTATTGTCTGAGAAGTCACATTCATGTGACTCAATGTTGAGAAAAGGGCCAGTGGCCTCGAAATATTCAGTGTTTCTTTTGTGTTTTCTTCTGAGTTACTGTAGAGAAGTGGGATGCCTACATTTCTAAAGGTAAACCTGATTATTCTATCCTTTGTCTCCTTAATACCTAGGTTAATTATTCTAGCTGAGGCAAAGAGCAGAGGAAAAACTGTAAATGAAAAAAAACATCGATTATCAATGTGTTTGCCTTGAAAACATTGATGTTTTTGTCCTGAAAACACCGATGTTTTCCCGACGATGTTATTGGTACATTGTTGGTTAATAGGCCTACCGATGTTACTATCGATAAATTCAATTCAATTATCAATTATTTAAGATGGGGACACCACTATGTGCGTCTTTTAACCCAAATATGAGTGTAGAAAGATGGCGCAATCTTGTAGTCTTGTTAGTGACCAAGGTCAACAGGTTCCTTAGAAACAGCTGTTAATTAAACTTCCATCGGGCGCATCACAGAAGTTACCTCCGGGTCACCATATTTTTCATTATAAAAACCAAAGTTTGCGTTCGGCAGGTCTATCGCCTGACGTACCTCACAAACCTCTTTTGGGGAATCGGTTTCGGCTACTCTTACCCCTTTCCCAGTTCTCAGTTGACGTTGGGGAGTGTTTGCTTCACTACTGGATGTAGCTTCCGTGAGCGACCTGTGATGTAACGGGTTGTTCGGGGACTTTTTTCTCGGGAAAAAGAACTTTGACAAAATGAGTAGTCCTTCTACTTCTAACAAATGATTTTTTTTCATAAGACCATAGGTGTTTTTATGTCATAAACCATTGCAATTTTTTTCTAACTTTACACGATAGTAGGCCTACTGTATATGTACAAAAATTAAGTATTTTTTATCCACAAAACTTATTTAACGTACTTTTATTATTTATTATAACATTTTCTATTTTATATATAAAACTTAAGTAGGCCTAATAGGCCTTGTGTAATAACTCATAAAAATGTTTTTCTTACAGTTTTGTTGATATCAAAATGTTTTTTTACTCATCATTATATAGGCCTAATTCTTGTATTCCCGGAGGTAACTTCCGTGAGCATCCTCTGGTGTTTGAAAATCAATGCGCCCGACAGAAGGTTAATAGCCCGATACAGCTTATGGCAACTAAGGGACCTATAGTGTATAGTGGAATCCGAACCACATTTTTCCTTGTAATTAACGAATTGGTCTAATTATCAGGATAGTACTGCCGATAGTCGTAGTACTCACTAGTGCGGACGTTAATCAACACCAGGGAGCATCGCATCCACAGTGCATGCCTATAAATATCCACAATTTGTGACCTCCGAGTAGCTGGATTACAGGACAACGCCACTGTTCCAGTCGGTTTTCCTATATTTTCCTATCGATGCTCATCCCAATTGAATGGTGATTTTAGTCTCATAACATACTAATGTTCTTACCATAAATCCAGGAAGACCCATCTCGCCCTTAGGTCCCGGTTTTCCAGGGGCTCCCGCCAGTCCTGGGGGTCCAGGCCGGCCTCTTCTTCCTCGTTTGCCCGGGTCCCCCTTGTCTCCCTTGATGGGAGCAAATGTTCCTGGTGCCAACAGACCTGGAGGTCCTCTCTCTCCGGGTTCCCCTTTCAGACCAGGAGGTCCTGAGGGTCCGGGACTTCCTTCCTCTCCCATATCTCCCTTCTCCCCTGCTACTCCCTGGAACAAGCAGTTGAGAAACTCAGTCAGTAAAGAAAGTATTGTTTAAACACAATGTTTATAGAGCCTTGATAGTTTGACACTCCATAAGTAGTTCAACATGGGCAGAGATAACGTGACATGTCGGCAGCTGACAACAATGGGTTTCCGAGGTCAGTAACTAGAACCTTCTTATTGTTTTCATGCATGTTAACATAAATTACTTAAATCATCCCATCAATGTAAATGTTTTTCTAACATCCAAAGTCAAAGTGGAAAACAGTTGAAGTTGAATATTACAACAGTAAAAAGCCAAATAATGCACAGTAGAGATGTAAGTTGATGAGTTTGTTTATTTTTGTCAAGTTTCACACTATTTGTCAAATTTATTGGTTTTAGGCCTATTTCTTGTTTTAAATACGCCCTGTAGGCTATATAAATGTTCTTAATGTTTATTTCCTTAACTTAGTTCAATATGTCAATAGGCCTAGTTTGACTCTCTCTTACTCCTAGGCTAGGCTAAGTTAAGTTTATATACACTTTTTATTTTTATAATCACAATTGTATCTTAGCCTACAGTCCTTTATTGGCTTTATAGATCATTCAGCAAATACGACACTAGTTAATAAAACGTAAGTTAGTTTCTATCAAGTGAATTTCAACCGAATAATAATATAGGACTAGGGATGGATTAATTTTACACTGTAGGCCTGATTTCAACCCTTTAAGTCAACTATTCTATTTTATATTATACATAGGTACAGGTACCCATTGTTTGTGAAGATGAAAGAATCAACACACTTTTCAGTTGGTTTGTTAGAGTAATGTGTCAGATTAAAGCTAGAAATGTTCCCTCATTGAGTCATTCTGTCTGACAATAGTCAAATTTCGAAAAGAACAATGAATGGTAAAGTAAAACAGAAAAATTCCTTTTTCCACTACTGTATTCCATTCTTACTAATTCACTCACATTGCAACACAATTAATAATAATAATTTAGCCTGCCTAATTAAATATTGTTTGTTTATTCTACAATCTACATAATAGTTTTTTTTTTTACAACAAGCTGCGGTAGCAGACGACGCCCGACTCATGGTGAGACAAAGAATTAAAATCGCGACTAGAATCGTTCAGGCATTGATTATAGCCTATCTCATATCTAGACACTAGTTGGAACCAGTATATTAGTATTCTGGTACTATAACAAAAATAATACCAATCATTGTATCTCATTGACAACAAAGAAAATTAATTCAAGAAACGCCAGTATTCTGTTATAAAACAAATCCATACTGGGACTGTGATAAACAAATATAAACACAATTATGAAAGTTAAACTATAACAAACAATAACCATAAAAAAGAACTGCATGAATGTTATAACATTTAAATTACCACATATGTATCATAAAATGATATATTAATAAGTTAAGTGTTTTAAATATTCCAGTTTGGGATATTAAAGTGTTTAGTTTAACCAACCTGAGAACCTGGTGTTCCAGGAATGCCTGAGGGTCCCACGGGTCCTTGGTCTCCCTTGTCACCTTTGGCTCCCTTTTCTCCCTTGTCCCCCTTAGTTCCTGAGTCTCCCTTCTGACCAGCACCTGTCAGAAGAGACCATGCAGGGATAATGTAACATCTCAACAAGTGAATAGAATACACCTAAAACCAAGTACCCATTTGTTAAATGTCTCAATATCCAGTATATGGCTTGTTCCAAAGATATACCTTCTGTCTAACGTGAAACCTCACCCACCATCTTGATATATTAGTGTCTAGAATATTTGATTAAGGATTGTTTTCGATATGGCTATACTACTAACAAGATACGAGACAGGTTTTAGACGCAGGCTTTTGTACCTTGCTCAGGTTGCGCTCTCACTTTCCATAATACCGGTACCTGCAAACTTGCATCTTGTCTGTCGCCTCTCGTGTACAAACAAGGATATACAGTACTACTGTATATCAGTTTTATTTCTATTAAATTTAAAAAGTGTAATGATTATTTTCAATAGTTTAAAAAATTAAAAAGGATCAACAATTTTTATTTTGTATAAAATGTTTGATACTTTTATTTTTTTTTAATTATTTACTTTTCCACTTATCTTATCTTACCGTGGCTAGTTTAGGTGACATACGCAAGGATCTTTTATATCAGTTTTATTTCTATTAATTATTTGACAAAGTGTGGAATGACATAATTTTCAATAAATAAACAACCATACCCATAGCAGTTGTCGCCACTTTTCCATCTCCAGGCTGTATTATACCAGGAGGGCCTGGGGGTCCAGCAGGACCTAAGTCACCTGCAACATTTCCATTAATTTTTATATTTTTCAGGTTTCTTACAATTTTTACTTTCTCCCCCAATACAAAGCAAATGTAAAAGTATGTGGATACGTTTATTCATGGTATCACTAGTGGTTTCTTCATCAACTTATTGAAATGTATGTTTAATTATGATTTGTCCTTACACAACCATAAAAAACTGTTAAAAATCGCACAAAAACTATTACAACGATTTTAATAAAGATATGGCATGTTTATAGCCCTTTTAATTCCCAACAAAACATACAACCCTTATTATTGCTGTAGGAATTACTGGTCAAAAGTTATTGTAATTTATATGATTTTCCCATAAAAAACACACATAAAAAAACAAATGAATCGGATAAAAAAAATACTCTCAGACCAGACCGATTTAAATTAAAAAATTAGTATCTTATGGTACATATGATTTTAAATGAAATGGTACAGCCCCAATTGATGTACAAATTACTGTTTAGAAGTTATTGCAACTTTAGTATAGTAAGTAATCTTCCCCATAAAATATCAATGTTATCCCACCATCCAAAGGTTGTTGACAGGTTATGGTAGAAAGAATGTGTCAGATTGCTGATACAGTTTATTGTTTTTAATATTTATTTTATTGTATGATGCAGCCATCAGGCTTATGTTCAGTTTAATATGCTATTTAATAAATTTCTTTGTTGACTTTGGTTAAAAATAAAATATACACAATGATTTATTGATTCTTAATTATATGCTGTGACTGTTGATTGTTCAATAAATCAGTAATGACTAAAATAATTTTTACAATTAAAATTTTTTGCTATATGACCATAAACCAAAAGAATCTCCATTTAGATTGCAGTATCCTAAGAAGTAGAGTATTAATTAGTCCATCTGCATTGTAAATGGAGGACCTGACGAGTGAATTAATAGTTTGGGAGACAAGTCCAATCGCAAGAACAGCTGTGTCTAGAGGGATGAAGCTCCCTAGTAGGGGGTAGACACAACAATAGCAATTTGACTTGTACAGTAGGCCTATGTAAAAACAACAATGCCTGTGATTAATCCTTTTTAGGGGAAAATTGTAAGTACTACTCTAAGAGCAAGCGTTGCTCAACCCATGCAAAATTATAGATACACTGTTTGTAGTCTACAGAAAGTCATATTTACATCATAATATTTGCATCACAATTGTGATGCATATTTGGATAATATTATATAGATAAAAGATGTAAATTTGAAGGTAAAAGAGCACTGCATTTTATAAAAAATAATGCAGTCGCTAAAATATTAATTTTTATTTGACCTGTATGGTAGATCATAATTACATAATAAGATTTGAATCACAATTTGTGATGCATATTTGGATAATATTATTATAGATAACAGATGTAAATTTGAAGTTAAAAGAGCACTGCATTTTATGAAAAAATAATGTAGACGCTAAATAATTAATCTATATTTGACCTGTGTGGTAGAAACAGTATTATTATAATTAAAATTAAATCAAATTTCGGTAATATTCAAAATTTCAAATAATGTTGTTATATTGAAGTCAAATGGTGGTAGTTCAATGTCTAAATCATCGCCTTCCCCAAACCTCTTTCACATGTTATTTAGTTATGGTTATTTTGTTTTCATTACCATGGTTATTTACGACAAATAGGCTACCTACCTAGTTTCAAATATCAAATATAACCAAATTTAATTTGCCTATATTTTAAAAATGAGCAAAGAACTTTTTTTTTGGAAGCGGGTCTAATTTGCAAATTTGTCAATCGGTAGTCAGATGCAAATAGTTTTACTCAGGTAATACTTGATGTATTGTATTTGTTCAATGATATACATAACAATTTTCTTTAGTATAACAAAGGTATAACTAAACTATATAAACAGCTGGTCTTAGTAATGACGATACTAGGCTGCAAAACCCATTGCACATCAATCTCCCTCTCTCTTCTTTGAGTAAAAATTAATAATTTGTTTTTATTTTTCAGTGACTTACCTTTCTCTCCTTTTCCCCCAGGTCTCCCGTTTTCCCCTGACACTCCTGGAAGTCCATCTTTCCCATTTTTCCCAGGTTCTCCCTTCTGCCCTCTAGTGCCTTGGGACCCTGCATGTCCCTGAAACAAGTTTTGATGATTATTTATTGTTAAAAAGAATATAAAAAAGGTCTATGTATAGTTAAATAAAATCCAAAGCTTTAATTTTAAACCCCAAGCTATTTTCCAAGTATATATAATAACATGATGGTATACATGAAATTATTTCATTAGCAAAGCCATCCTATCAAAACAATGGGACATCTCAATTCTGCCTAATGCCTCTTGATAAGGTGAGTTTAGGCTGGAGGGTTTGTTATCTAACACAACAGATCCAGTTGCAGTGTTTTCCTTATGTTTGATTATCACTTAATCTGTGAGAATATACCACTTAACAATGTTTATGAGAATAGATATGAAAATAAATTTATGGGAATTTCCCAAATTTCCCCTCGAACTGTACATTTTTCAATCATGATAATATACCATGGGGGCCTTATAGTTAAATTGCGATAAATCGTTGGCCCATTTCAGCTGATCAAAACAACAGTTACAACATCAGTACCCAAGTCTGAAGTCACTTATCTCAATATAGGTTCAAAAATATAAATTATAGACTAGAATTCAATGGTTTTTTGTCAACATCTTTTTCAGCTTGTATTTTGTAAAGTAATTTTTCGTATAGGCTGCCAAAGTAAATTTATAAAATAAGTATTCAACTACAACAATACAGCAATTCGACGTTAGGGAGCTTACCACTAAAAGTGTGAATATTGTTTTATACTCAAAAAACAAATATAGTGATTTTAAAGACGTAAAAACATCTTCCTAGAAAATCTAATTTTTAACATCTGCAGTTTTTATAAAAAAGTTAGTTTAATTTGAACTTTAAATATAGACGTATGAATATGGCTCTATTTAATAGGTTATTATTTCCTGTAGACAGAACTGAATAAATTATTTAGTTTGTCCTAATTAATTTCAATACTCAGAAAAGAAGCATGAAAGGCTTAGCATGTATGCCTACTTAGTAAGGAACGATTATTATTCTTACCTTGTCACCTTTGTTGCCCTTGGCACCTGCAGGTCCTCGGTCCCCTTTGCTTCCTGGGAGTCCCCTCTCTCCAGGGACACCTGGGACTCCATCTATCCCTGGTTCTCCCTTAGGTCCAGGACTGCCTGGTCTGCCTGAGTCTAGGCCGGCTCCTGTGATCACCTCCTGTTTATAAATCAGAAAGGTTTTTCAAAATACTTACCGACAAAGCACATTGAAAAGTGATGAACTGATATATTTTTATGTATATTTTAATTTATAATAATTGTAGTTGATTGAATTAAAATAAAGAAAGAAGAAAAATGTTGCAAAATGGTTTTGAATTAGTAAGAACCATGCCTATGTCTTGATTTAACATCAAGGCACTTTAAGTCTGGAAAAAATACAATAAACAGGAAAAGCGAAATATATAGTGGGACATGTTAATTTTAAAATATTACATTGGATAATGCAAGTAAAATTATCTATCAGTTGTGAAATATTTGCACCCATTTATATGTTAATAAGCAATGACGTTGACCATATAGATGTTTTTACTTTCTACCCTTATCTTTACATCCCTAGTAGCACAAATATGTATTTTATAAATATTTTATATATTTAAAGTTGTATTTGATAGAACCTTGAATAAAATATATAAATAATATATCTTTAATAACAGTTTGATATATTCAAATATATATTTAAAATATTACCAAAAAGCAATGCAAAATATAAATTAAATATAAGTTTTGAATATATACAATAGATTCATAATATATATTGATCAAATAATTATAGAATCTATAATATAAATGTTTTATATGTATATTTTTCCTATTAAATATTTAAAAAAATTATGTGTTAAGAATATTTTAAATATATATATAAAATATTTTTGAAACTATATTATATATTTAAAGTATTTATAAATATATTTTGAAACACGTCATTTATTTTTATTAATAAAATAATAATATATTTTTAGAATATAGGCTATAGCCTATAATCTATACTTATAATCTTTTATAATTAGCAAATAAATAATTTGCATGTTTTTGTTTTTATAGTGTCTATCAATTTATACATGCATTTTTTATATGATAATTGCTATTGTGAAAGCGTTAAAATTAAGTTAATAATAATACGTACTCTGAATGGTGTCACTCTATCATGCACGTAAAGAAAAAATTACGCATATGGTAAGAGGCAGTATACATGTTCGGCAGCTACATTTGGGTCAAACGAAAAAAAGTGTTGATGGGTTTTATTTTTTAAATTGCAATATGTGACAATGAATGTGATCATAGAAATCTCTAATGATTGGCTAGAAAAGGGTGCTAGCGACTGGTGACCGTTTAAGAAACGAATTACGGAAAAACAGATTAACAGAATCATATTATACTGTAGTATCAAAAAATTTTCAAGTATTGCAACCATTGCAACTGACGGCCGCTCTTTCACCATTTGAAAACCAATGGTAACATAAAAAGTAATTAAATAACCGGTAAAAAGTAACAGTCACAAGTAGCTCAGAGGTAAGGTAAGAGGCTCGTAAGTCGAAGGACCCAGGTTCGAGACCCACCCGGGCTAAAAAGATTTTATCCAGTAATTTTTTCAAAATTTGTTTTTATGAACTATTTAATCAATTTACTCAACTGATAATTGTGTTTTACATACTAAATCTTCATTATTTTATGTTTTTATGTTTAGGCCTCATGGGATGTTTGGAAGGGATATTAAATACATTTTTTATTTAAATATTATTCACTAAAATATATTATTGGAACATATTTTTTTAATATTTAATAGTTTCAAAAACATATTTTATATATATAATATATTTTAAATATTATATAAAATTGACATTAATACACACTTGAGATATATAAAATAGATTTTAAATATATTTATTCATATGTATTTAATATATATTTGTGCTACTAGGGATGAAGAAAGTATTGTTTTCGTCAACATTTTCTAGTTTGAATTTTGATTGGATACATATTCTGTCCAATACAGTTTACTATCTATCCAATACGAATAGAGTACTTGTAACATCGCTTTTCAAAAGTTAAAAATAAGTATTTAATGTGCAGTATAAGTGAACACAATTGTATATCTTCTATCAATCAGAATGTTCTTGCAACAGGATCAATAATAACAAGTCAAAACAATTTGTAAAAATAAAAATAAAACTGTCACAACACATTTTGGTTAACTGATTAGTTAAGTGATCAAAATGATCCAACTAAACACTTTACAATCACTTTATGACAAGATCAGGTGTGTAATTTGTCCAAAGGGAATTAGGTTTTACCCCAAAACCAAACATAAATGTTTACCTTTACACTGAAACCTGACTAAAACACAAACAGGCAATATGACACTTTGAACACACAAAACCTGGCTGTTTACGAACTATAACACAAGTAAAAGTGAATTATTTGCCTCGAGAAACTTTGATAAATTGGAGTTTGTTATGTTTACTCTTAAAACTCACCTTAAACAAGGAGCGTGGCTTCCAACTCGGCTGCATGAGGGAAAGTTTACGTTTTAATGTTGTTTATTGTCCAACTTACAGTAATGTTAGTCAAGATAATAGAGAATTATGTGCCCCTACACTCATACAAACTCCCTTTTCGATAGTAATTTGAGAGTCGCAATTCAAATAGTTGTGTCATTTTTATTTACTATTAACATTTGAAAGCAAACAAGTGGGCATAGTTTGAAACAGGTGTATTAAAAAAAAGTGTTTTGTATGCACATGTTATACAGCCATATTCTAAATATTAATTGATTTTGTATTGTTAAACATGCGGTATATACAATCAAAATCCCTAATAGAGAGCAGCACACTCTTTGAGTACCTGAATTCACCTACTTTATTTTTATCGAAAACTTTGTTAAATATTTGAAGAGGAATGGGATGTCTTTATTGTCAAAGATATAATGTAGAGGGGAAAAATAGAACCTACAAACCTGAGTAATTTCAATAGTGTTCATGCTATAAGAATTTGTTTTCTTTCTGATTAAAATATTTGATAATTAATGGATTATTTTAATCCTGTGTCAACATCTGGACAAAGGCCTGTTCAATCAATATGCTGATAATTTGAATCAAAATTATTTAGAAGAATATTGTAGTCCATATAAGCTTTAGTTTATTCAATATCTTTCCTTATCCAAACAAAAGCTTTTAAGAGCTCTTAAAATATCCTGCAGGGATTGTTGCTTTTATCAATAAGTGACTTCATCCAATAATTCCTCATAAATATTGCTTTTAAAGAAGTTGTCTGTTTAAATATTAATGAGACAAAATTAATTCTCTCAGGAGGATATTTACTGCTCATATTTTTCTATCTTGGTACCTATAAAATTTTACTGAAAATAACAAAAAATCTAGTAACTTTATCCATTATATATTTAATTTATTTGTAAAACAATTTTCAGAGTATCCGTTATAAAATTAATGTATAATTAAAGTAACGTTACTATAATAACAATAAGATAGACTTAAAATATATTAAGACTTTGTTTTGGTCCCAATTTATAAATTACATAAAGAAAATCTGTAAAATACTTTACTATTTGTAAAGTGTTTTGATTCTATGGCCCAAATTTTGATCAATGGTCCTTATTCCCTCGTACTGTATTTATGTTGTATATTGGCTTAGTTATTAACATATGCTATAATTCTTTGTTTATATATTTTTTTTTATTTTGTGACCAACATGGCAAACAAAGAGCCTAATGTAAACATGTTTAAATGTTAAGCTAATTTTTACTGTACATATATTATCAAATATAAATCTGTTTCTTTACAAACTTTCTCGTTAGTTGTCAAAACAACCTTGGTAAGTCTGGCTGGAATCTGCTCAGCTGTAATTGCATGATGATAAAAGAAAGTTTGCATTGTGCATTTAAATTGACCCCAAAGAGCTTCGCTTCGTCATACTCAATGAAAACTGAGAGAACCAGCTTTGCTTTCACTTGATTCCACCAGCAAAGGGCTATCATTGATTATTGAGATTCATATACACTCACGTCCATATTGTAGGTTCCCTCTGCTCTGCCAGGAGGTCCTGGAGGACCTGGGCTGCCAGGAGTTCCCGGGAGTCCTTGTAGGCCTTGGTCTCCTGTAATGTATACCACACAGTCAGTACGTGCACAATACATAACAGAATTAAAGAAAAACTTTAAATTTGGGAAAATTAACACAAAAAATCTCTTTCCTTGATTGTTTTAGGTGGGTTCTTGAACTAATTTAAATGGCTTGTTTCAACAAAAAAATCTGTTAATGCTCACTTTAATTTAAATACAGTATATCCAAGACACATAATTATTAAGAGTGTCTAATTTGTACATTTTTAACAATGCGTGAGTATGCGTCTCTTGACTAAATCGTTGTGTAATATAATGTTCATGGTTATTTAAAAACATTTAATATGTGAGTTCTCCGAGGTTGGTACAATTTATTAAAATGGCCGTCATTTTGTACTACTGTAATTGCAACAATGGTGGCACCATAAAGGCTACATTATCAATGACGAATATAATTATGAACAATCTAATTCGGCTATGAGTGGGAAATATTTGTAGAAAACACTAGATAAATAAAAGAGCAGCCTTTGAAAAATGATAAAATATTTACAAGAAATGTTGATCATATGGAACTGGTATGGGCGTTGTGAGTACAGTAAGGTTGAAATTGAGAACTCGGGTTTTAATGTTTTTCTTCTATTATGAAAACCTTTTTTTAAAGGTTTTTTAAGGGTTTTTTAAAATGAGGTGCCCCTTGATGGGGCTTTAGATTTTTATTTTTTAGGCTTCCTCAAAATATCCTATTTCGAGGTTCCAGGAGAAATGTCAATCCAACCAAAATTTGCACTTTTACGCTATATAAAGGTGTGCATAGTTTAGTTTTCGTAGGGTAATCCATTTAAAAGTTAATTGGAGGTTACATGGAAACTTTTGCCTACTCCTTTATATCTTTTATTGTTTTGTGATATGTAATATATAAAAATTAGAATGTGTTTTTGGGCCTGAATAAGTTATTTACTAGATAATTATACATTATAGTTACTATGTGAGCTCCTATTGGTTACTATCAGAGGTTTGTTTTACATGAGTCCATCAAACAACATTCAAGATTTCATGTAAAATGTTTAAGTTTATGAACATCATATGGATTTGTTCATGATTTCCGTAAGGTTATAGCACATATTCACTATGTTAAACCCATTTTCTTGTAGTACTTCCTATGAAAAGATATAAAAATCATTCAGCACGTACAAACTCGACAGTTAATTAAAACTATGACCCACTGAACCATCACAAATTCGTTATCTCAAATGAAAGTTTTAATTGATTTGCTGGCAATTACAATTGGGCTTAATTGCATGAATTTGAATTCTAAATGAATTTGGATTCAGCGTCTTTGATTTCTTTTTTTTATTGAGCTCTGAGAAATAAAAGTTACGGGCTTACTCGTTCACTACAAAACTGGCAAAACTAATTATAGTTTAACTTTGGATGGACGGAGTTCCGTTTGCTAGACAGTTGACGGAAATTTGTCTTTCGCTAGGATTATTATTACTCTCATGAGAAGCATAGACAATTATATTCCTTAGGAGTGTAATTTATTACTAATTAATTTCAAGGTGTTTAGGCTCAACTCTGTAAATACAAGGGTAAAAAAAGTAAAATTTTTATAAACTAATTTATGGAGTTACAGTAATGTATTTTCATAACAACCTCTACTTCTTAAGAAAAAACATCTGAAAATTTCAAACGGTTTGAACATAACGGTAGTAAACATAGGAATAACAAGGTATAACAGTGTTGTAATTACACTTTCGAGTTTAAAAGGATGGTCTTTCAATTATAAGCCAAAAATACGAGACGAAACACAGTTGTACACCATTAAAATAGAAAATTTCATTTTTATACATTAGAACAATTACTTATTTTTCAAATTATTACTTTTATACAAACATTATTAAATATACAGGGTCACAAAGTTGTGTATATTGAAGAATATTACCTTTTCAAATTTGAAATAGGATCATTAATAAGGTTCGGCAATAATCCATTTCCTTATGGCCACTTTTTTGTCTGTAAAATATAACTTAAAAGTAATATTTATTTTGTACTGAAACCATTGTGTTATTCCATTTACAGTAGTTGTATTCACCTTCACAACACCTTGCACTCCATTGTGCTGGACTTGAAAATCTCGGACCTACTTAAAATATTGTTTGTTAAGCTTTTATGCACTGCCAATACACACGTTGATTTTATTTAAAAGTTTAAAAAAGAAGAGCATATTTTAAACTGATTTTATATCTTGATAAGAAATGCATTTCCTTGCTGCTGACCATTATTTGATAAAAGATCTGCAGTTGTTTTCCAACATCAGTGATAATTAATCACATTTCAATTTCACGGAGGCCGGAGCCTAATGAAGCTAATAAGATTAAAATATCTATTGATAGATAACTAAACCAATAACTGCATGGATACAATTACATTTGCCGGCATCAGATGTTTTTAATGTAATATTAAATTATCACGTTTGATCTAAAACTAAACTAATTACATTTTTTATCACATAGGCTATCACGGAGATTTAATCAAACTATAAGTAATCATAAAAATACTCAAATATACGTTGGCTCTTCATGACTAATCTTCTACTTATAAAGAGGTATTTTCAACTTTAAAGTAATTCAAAAATACATTTTATTTTCTAGGACATGTCGTGAAATGTGCTCTCTGGTTGGTTAGAGTCTTAACAGAAACATTTTGCATTCCAATCATAGGAATTATCATTCAAAAATATTATAATTTTTCAAATGTATATGCTTGGATTTAAAGTAATGTCATACATTCTCTTTTTTTATGGTTGTATATACTAATTAAAATGTATTTTTTGTGACAATAGCCAATATAATTTATTGACCACTTTATGTTTGGTATTTAAATCTATGTAATGAGTGTTCACATTTCAATGTTTCTCTTAGACTTATCAATAGTACACAACGTGAAAAAAGAAAAAAAAGGTAAATTATTAAAAAGCTAGTAATCTTGTTAGGGGTAGATTTTATATTTGAAGTTTACAATTTGGTTACAGTTTGGTTACACAATCTGGCAATTATCAAAGTAGCTATGCATACTTTGTTTTAGAAAGTTTAAATTGACGATCTAACCAAACACATTAAATTAAAATAATCTTCGTTTATGTTAGAAAAATCACCATTAGATACATTCAAGGAAAGTTAGACTATTGAATCCGTCTCTTGCACAGCTGAGGGTTCATTAAAACTGAAACTCAACAGGAAAGATTGTTTAACATTCTTCTTTGCCTGAAGGAAATTATCCTCTGTCAGACTAAGTTAGCAACTTTAGGACTTTGGTTGGCCATATTTCTTCTTCTTCTCCAGTGTTAATGTTTGCCGAGAATTTATAGCCTCGCTAGTTACAGGTTTACTTACTGGGCTAAATTACCTTTATATTTATCCATTATTTTAATGACACTTTTACGTACTATGTGAAATATGTGTTTATTCAGAAGTTGTTATATTATATATTCGGGTTCTAACAGATTTGTGATTGCGAATTAATAATGAAATATTTGGCTTTAGTAAAAATCGTTCAGTAATTTTCATTTAAAATTTGATTTAATAAAAATTCAGGTCGTATTTGTAATAATTTGTAATAATTTAATTTGTATTTAATTTGTAATTTAATTTGTATTTAATTTGTTAATAATTTGTATTGAAGTTTGTAGTCCTTGAAGTAAGTAGTTGTTAAACACAAACAGCTCGAGCATATTCCTTGATAAACACATTTTAAATACCGTAAACATCATTATATCAATTCAAAACCTTTCAAAGGTAAAGGTACTTGCAGTGCTTTAAAAACCCTTTTAGTTACTGCTTGGTTAAATATAATTAATCACCACACACGATGATGGAACACATTTTCACATAAAGCCACTGGCTTAGTTGTAGTATTACTCTACTTAGGCTAAGGGCTGTTAAGTCCTGATTCCGTCAGAGCTTAGGTCTAAGACCTACTTAGTGTACTTTAGGTTTATTACAGTCACAAAGGGTTTAGGGTCCTTTCCTTAAGGTTCTGTGTAATATAAAAACAACTTACAGTGACATTTAGTCAGGGTAGTGCCTTATGTTAGTAAATTAAGAAATCTTAAATGCTACATTTATTGACAACATAAAAAACATGTTTGAGGCGTGGATGGTTTTCAGTATAGGATCCAATGAAGATGTTGATACCCTTAAGTGTTTTTTCGCTATAGTAAAACCATAGTAGTAGGTCTTACATTTAATTTACTTTCAATTTGTTACTTGTATAAATAAAATATATAGTAGGCCTAGTTTGAGTTAATAGTAAATAGATTTTCCCCCACACACGTTTTGTTACATGTATAATACATATATACATGTATATATGGTCATAGAAAGCCTTATAAAGAATATTTAAGCCATAACAACACATTAAGCATTAACATTGTAAGAATATTTAAGCCTTTATAATCCAATGACATAATCAGGGTGGTTTTGAATAAAATTACCATAGCTTCATAAATTGATCGAGCTCACAATAAAGAATTTCTTCAATACTAATGCATACTTATTATTTCTTTTAGGTCGGGAAAAATTATTTAAAAATGCATTTTACCCTCTTTATGACAGTTAATAAGCTTCTATGAAACAAGGTTTTTGTTTAGAAAACCCAGTTTTATGGATTTAAAACAAACAATAAAATAATGTTTTTAGTTCATACTTAGTTAGAAATCGTTAAAAGGGTAAAACATTCGCAAAATTACTCAGCTTAAAAATAATAAAGGAAATGTTTTGAAATAATTAAACTATTGCATGGAAATGAAATATAAAATAAATTGACTAACACTTAGTCTAAATTGCATTCCTCAAATTAGAATATCAATCAAGACCAAATCTTATAAGAAAGATGTTTAAATATTCCTTACCTCAAGGAAATTAGTTTTTAACTGACTAACTTTTGGAGTCAGAAAGCGTATAACTCTCGCAATAACTTCCACTCTTCGTCTTGTGTTTTAAGCTCTACTGGCAAGTTAATTATCATAAAGTTATTACTATTAGCTGTGGTTTCAACAAAATTATTATTTAATGTGGAGTTTAATGTGAATACGAAACTTCTGATATTACTGTACTGTTTTTAATACATTTTGTAGATATGATTAATTTTCCTTGGGAATGTTGGTGTGTGTGTTATATACGTATGTATTCTTACTATACACTGTACACTCTGTGCTGTATACTGTACCAGATAATCTAATTATTTAACCCAATTAAACTGTAAATCGACTAATCATTTATATAGGTTATGTCAGCCTTACAATGACTTATGTTTTGTAAAACTTAATTAACTATATCCATAACAAATATGTCCACCTCACCGATGGATCTTGTTAGATTTGACACGAGTTAATGAATTAAGTTTTTACCTTTTGGTCCTTGGATTCCCTCAGGACCTCTAGGACCTTCATCTCCTCGGTCTCCCTTTTCTCCTTTGGGTCCTGGCAATCCTCTCTCGCCCACCGGACCCGACAATCCCTGACACAGTAAACAAGTACTGTAAACCAATGCCAGTATATAACTTTCCAAATACTTCCTAAATAGCAGGAAACGCATTATAAAAAGTAATATTAAATTAACAATGCAAACTTCGTAATACAACCTAAACCAACACTGCTAGCTATGATCGAGTGTAAAGTTGCAAGATATTTATATCAACAAAACATAAGAAGTTTAGGGTCAAAAATGTTTCCCTGAATTTAAACAAAGCTACGAAGTATTGATGAAAATGAATGAAAACAAGGCTTTTGAAGGTACCTAATACTGTAAATCTTGTTGCTGACAGGCTAAGCTAAGATAAATTTAATTGGAAACTATTTACACACTTATTATTTATATACTTTGCAAGCACGTTTTTATGAAATTCCAAGGATTTAAAAGCTAAAAAAAAAAAAATAAGCTGAAAAGATTTCACAGGACACGACATTAAAAACAGTTATTAAGAGCGATTTTGTCATATAAAAACATAATAGTATATTAATTTAAAATAAATTACTATTTACCATTTTTCTGATATTTTCTTCGGTACAAACGATGTTTTTTTTTAAGAAAGTATTTTTTCCTAAGCCAAAGAAACTGCATGCATCCCTTTTGAATAAATAAAAATTTTCTAGGAAAATGAATATTTGTATGGTAAACATAAATTATTAACTAATTTGTTGCACTAAAAAGCTTAAATACCGGCATTCCAGGTGCGCCCGTCTTCCCGTCAGTCCCTGGAGGTCCTTGTACAGGCTCTGGAAGGTTGAAGTTCTTCAGGACTTCCGTAATGTTACAGGAACACTCCCCAGGAGGTCCTGGAGGCCCAACTACTCCTCCAGCGGGCAGGAACTGCAAGTAAAGGACAAGAATAAGGGCAAGAAGTAGTCTTTTTTAAGATATTCAATGCCAATGTCATTTTCTATCAGGAGGTTCTTTAAAATCAAGCTATGACACTTGACTTGGAAGCATCATTAGCTGGTAGCTCAATGATAAATATCAAGATCACGTGCTGGATCATACCAGCTGTTTTTAAATTCGAATACTATCATTTAAGTCGACCAAGAAAGAGATTTATGAAAAGCTTAAATTTATCTTCAGTCAAAATATAAGTAGTATAGTTTGTCGCCGCCGTTTTTTGTGGCGCGGGGTTTTTGGGCCAACTCCCCGCCCATGCCTAATTGCTAGTACATTTACCATTCCCCTTTCTAGTTGATGTATTATATTTCTGTCTTATCTTATCTATATATTAGACATATGAGTTGTTTAATATTGTTAGTATAGTTTGTCGGTGCCGTTTTTTGTGGTTCGAGGTTTTTGTGCCAACTCCCCCTCCCCCCTCACCCCTCACCCCCTCACCACTCCCCTCTGCCCCATGCACAATTGCTAGTACATCTACCATTCCCCTTTCCAGTTGATATATTATATTTCTATTTCAAAATCATGTATGTGCGAACTCGGCTCATGGCATGGGCGCGATCCCTTGGACATCCTTAGTGGAAATCCATGAATTCTGGCTACTTGGGAACCCAAGCCATTTGACATACAATAAATCACCCTTCATTCAACATCCACAGACTGCGTATTCCCGCAACTAGAATAACTAGCACATCAGCTACCTCAATTGACTATGTTTGCTCTAGCCTTGATCCAGATCTAATAAGTGCTGAAGTGGTTCACTCACATCTGTCTGACCACTCTGGGCAACTTATTAATATACAGTAGTATAGTTTGTCGCTGCCGTTTTTTGCGCATCGAGGTTTTTGGGCTAACTCCCCGCCTCACGCCTAATTGCTAGTACATCTACCATTCCATTTCTAGTTGTAGTCTATATTTCTATCTTATTTATATATATTAGTTGTATGAGTTGTTTAATATTGTCAGTATAGTTTGTCGCCGCTGTTTTTTTTTTTAGGTGTGTTGTCAACTCCCCGCCCCAGGCATAATTGCTAGTACATCTACCATTCCCCTTTCTAGTTGATATATTGTTGTCTATATTCCAATCTTATCTATATATATATATTAGCCGTATGAGTTGTTTAATATTGACATTCTCTTTTTATGTTATTCCAATCATATTGTATAAATACCTCTTACCTTTAGTGTCGTCCATATGAAATAATATTTAAAATTTTCTTAATTTTTAGATGTATTATTGTTTTATCAAAAGTTGGAACCTATATAATGTACTTAAATTTTAACAATTTTGCTGTATCTTTTGATATTTGAGATACAAGTGATTTTAAGTCTTGCTACAAGAAAATACTCTAAAATTAAAAAAATAATTTAAAATAGCTTACAATCTTGTAAATTGAAGACACTAATACAAATATCAAATTTAAGAACAAAAGATTTTTATAGTTACAGAGGACCTTTACAAGGAAATAGAATGTGACTTGAATTTTTTTTTATACCTCTGGTTATAGTTAAGATATTGTCAAAGCAAAACATCTCTATAGACTTATATTATTTGATCTGTCTTGAAACTGTGCAAGATTACTATGAGAATGTTGCAAGAATTAAATCTACAAATAATCATCACCTTCAAACCTTAACTAGGGATAAAAAGTACTACATTTTCATGGTGTCAAGAGGTTTATTGTACAATATGTCATCAATACTATTATACATTTGCTACTAGAATATATATGAGTTTTTACATCAAATACTCTGAAATTTGTCCCCTCAAGTTGTAAACATCAAGTGAATGTACTATACAATAACAAATACATTTATTATATTGAATTGAAACATGAAGTATTTATAATATTACTTTTGGGTTATCATTATAATAGACAAATCACTATGGCTATGCAATGTAAATCTGAGAGTCAATTATCATGATGAGCTACAACTTTTAATCTAAATGGAAAAGTTATTTAAACATACATATATACAAAAGTACAATAGTGTACGACAAGAAAATATAAATAATATTTGCTACTTGTTTTTACCCTATTCGTGTTAATTATGAAAATCAATCATGGAATTTCTGGATTGATTAAATGAAATACGATGTCTTGTTTGAATAATAATATACATGTTTGTGTACTTTTATACAAGTAAAATTATTGATGTTTTCATACTAAAAATGTTTAATAATGTCATCGAACATAACAATTGACTGTGACTTGTTACTTTGATGTGAATTAGTTACTTAAATTTCACACATTCCTCATAATTTGTACACAAATTATACACATTTCATGTAATATAACAACTAACTTTGACCGTGATGTGAATTTATGTAAAAATATTTTACTCAAATTTCACACATTTTACACAATTTGTACAAACACTTCACACAATATAACAACTTACTGTAACTTTGACATGAATTTGCGTGAAAAATTTACTCAAATTTCACACATTTCACACAATTTTTACACAAATTTTATGTTATGTAACAACTAGCTGTGACTGTGATGTGAATTTGTGTCATTTAACACAATGTATTGACTAACTGAGACTATGATGTAAATTCGTCATACAATTTTACAGCTATTAACAGATAAATGGTGGCTGTTTGTACATATAAAAATAAAAATATTTGTTAATCTGGACTAATCTAAATTGACTATTAGAATAGAATTATATTATTTACAATGTGCATAACCAAAATAAAATCTCAATATACGCAGTGTCTGTTTACACGTAATTCTACTTTTTTAACATTTGAAAATGTATGCCCACTTCCCTTTAACTGGTACTCTCGCATTTCATTCTTGATTTTGTCTAATTCACTATCAACTAACTCTTTCAAATTACTAGAATTATAAAATCCCTTGTTTTTTGTTTTTAGGTTTATAGTCACCACATCGTCTCCATTTAAATACTCCACTTCTACTAGCAAATTGGCTTTAAAAGATCCGAGTGTTTCTAAGCATTGCTGGAAAGTATTTACTATTTCTGGTTTTATATTGGAAAGAAACTCTTCTAAATTTGTGGATGATGCTGGATATGCAGCAAACGTTTTTACCCTACACCTAAATGTACAGGGTATTTCCTGGAACAATGAACTGGACATTTTATCTTCTTTTTCTATAACAAATAAAAACAAAAACATATTTTAACCCAACATTTTCCTATGGTTTGAGAATATCTGATATGTTACCAAAATCATACCCCAGGTTTGAGCAATAAAAATGCAACTTGAAAAAGTAATTTGCAAGAGTTAGTTGATAGTAAGTTAGATGAAATTTACTAAGATTAGATAAGAAAATTGTGTGAAATTTATAAAAATTGTTTGAAATATGTGTGATAAAGTACACACGAATTCACATCACAATCACAGTGAAATTCACAATTCATGTGAAATTTTTGTCATAATTTCACAAATTGTGTAAAAATTGTGTGAAATTTATAAAAGTTGTGTGAAATGTGTGTGATAAAGTACACACGAATTCACATCACAGTCACAGTGAAATTCACTATTCATGTGAAATTTGTGTGATGAAGTACACAAGTTCACAAAAATTCACATCACAGTCACGGTCAGTTGTTGTATTTGATGACATGAATAGTCCAAATATTACACATTTTTGTCAAAAGGTCGACATAAAAGTATTGACTGTTTTTACTTGTGTAAATCTTGCAGCAAAGTACACAAACATTTATGTTATAATGTAAATTTCCTAATATTATCCAAACAAGACAATTTAAGTTTTAAAACATGTGTATAACAATCATGTTGGTAATGACGTTTCATTTAACCAATTTAACAATCTCTTCCTCTAAAGTTGGGACAAAACTTAATATGGCTTTTCTATAATAGACATGGAAAGGTTAAATAATAACGGCAATTATATTTTTACGTTTGATCAATTTTATAATTACTAAGAGCAAGAGTATTAATGTCATCTTCCAGAATAAACCTCTTGTCATCATCAAAAGATAGTACTTTCTTATTCATAGTTTTTTTTGACATTTTTACCCATCTAAAATTGTTTAAGTCCATAATATTGTTTTAAAATGCTTATATTTTGAAAACGGTTTGAGATACGGCAAAACGGTTGAAATTCTGACACCCACTATGTGTGCCAGAATTTCAACCGTTTTGCCGTATCTCAAACCGTTTTCAAAATATAAGCATTTTAAAACAATATTATGGACTTAAACAATTTTAGATGGGTAAAAATGTCAAAAAAAACTATGAATAAGAAAGTACTATCTTTTGATGATGACAAGAGGTTTATTCTGGAAGATGACATTAATACTCTTGCTCTTAGTAATTATAAAATTGATCAAACGTAAAAATATAATTGCCGTTATTATTTAACCTTTCCATGTCTATTATAGAAAAGCCATATTAAGTTTTGTCCCAACTTTAGAGGAAGAGATTGTTAAATTGGTTAAATGAAACGTCATTACCAACATGATTGTTATACACATGTTTTAAAACTTAAATTGTCTTGTTTGGATAATATTAGGAAATTTACATTATAACATAAATGTTTGTGTACTTTGCTGCAAGATTTACACAAGTAAAAACAGTCAATACTTTTATGTCGACCTTTTGACAAAAATGTGTAATATTTGGACTATTCATGTCATCAAATACAACAACTGACCGTGACTGTGATGTGAATTTTTGTGAACTTGTGTACTTCATCACACAAATTTCACATGAATAGTGAATTTCACTGTGACTGTGATGTGAATTCGTGTGTACTTTATCACACACATTTCACACAACTTTTATAAATTTCACACAATTTTTACACAATTTGTGAAATTATGACAAAAATTTCACATGAATTGTGAATTTCACTGTGATTGTGATGTGAATTCGTGTGTACTTTATCACACATATTTCAAACAATTTTTATAAATTTCACACAATTTTCTTATCT